GTGACAACATCATCCAACACACCTGTATCTGACTGTGACAACATCATCCAACACACCTGTACCTGACTGTGACAACATCATCCAACACACCTGTACCTGACTGTGACAACATCATCCAACACATCTGTATCTGACTGTGACAACATCATCCAACACACCTGTACCTGACTGTGACAACATCATCCAACACATCTGTATCTGACTGTGACAACATCATCCAACACATCTGTATCTGACTGTGACAACATCATCCAACACATCTGTATCTGACTGTGACCTCATCATCCCACACAGAAATTCTATCAAACCACAAGCTTACCTGATTGGCTGAGAGAGTAGTGAGGCGTGGAGTAAACATCCAATCCAAGGGCTGTGCTCTGGGTGGGTGGGGCAAAAGAGTCAGAGGGACTGTTGTCGGCAGATGACACCACCACCTGGAGACAGACATGGAGACAGACTGATGACATCACTTCACTGAAACCTGATAATCAATCACAGCCAATCAAATTACTAATGAATTCAATTGATCATTGTGAGTTTCAGTTTTACGTCTCTGCACTCAGGACGGTCGTGAGCTCTCCTCCACAGCTCTCTCCGTCTCTCCGCTGTCATGTCACCGCTGACATCATCACTCAGGTTGCTGGTGGCAGTGGTGATGTCACAGCTCCCAATGATAGCTGATTCTACATTCTGTACGTCCCGCCCCCCATCACCGTTAATCAACTGTAGAAACATGTCACACCCGTCAGCCAATGAGAGCTGAGGAACCCCACTCATCAACAAAGCACATCTCAACTCATGACATTAGTAAGTGACATCAAGACTGTTATACAATAAAAAGTATTACATCAGTATTTAACAGTGAGGGGTTTTTCCCTCCTGTAGTTCCTAATTTCCTTCTCTACTTACTAGGTTCCTTCTCTTCCTCCTAGTTTCCTTCTCTCTGTAACTGTTACATTATGACATCATGCAGTGACATCATGTGAAATAATAGTGTACTGTCACATCCTGATCAGATGACATCATACTCAGATATTATTAATGTTGCATATTGACATCATGTGTGCAGTGATAAGATAGAAACACAATGTATGACATCATCACATGTTGAGTGACGTCACCTGGTTCCTCCACAGACTAGCCACAGTGTTGTAGAGCAGCAGCAGCATCAGAGGACTGCTGAAGTGAAACCAGCTGAGCTCAGCGTTCACCTGCAGCCTCCAGGGGGCAGCGCAGTCCACCGAGACTACCGACACCAGGCCACAAACACTGCAAAGGAATCAATCAATCAATCAATGTCCATATATCTGTATTCATACTTATCACTGTATGATGAAGGTGTTACCTGGTGAAGGTGTGTTACCTGGTGGAGGTGTGTTACCTGGCAGAGGAGCGGTTGGGAGGCCACGCCTCCTGCAGCGAGGGCAGCTGGTAGCAGTAGAGGAGCAGGAAGTGGAAGGGGGGGTACAGCAGTGACATGACAGACACGCACCTGAAGAGAAGGGGTGGGACTTGACCTGACCACGCCCACCAGGTACACAACACCTGGAAACAGAGGAGGTAGGGGAGCGAGGAGAGGGAGGGGAACATGATGCCTGGTGGGGGTGGGGGGGTGGAGAGGGTGGAGAGGGTGGAGTTGTAAATGTACAGGGTGGAGAGGGTGGAGGTGTTAGTGTACAGGGTGGAGAGGCTGGAGGTGTAAATGTACAGGGTGGAAAGGGTGGAGCCTAATCATTTTGATTGACAATGGAATAAACGAGTTCTTGTACCTGTTATACCTGCATCGTGGTACTCTGTACCTTCTTCCCAAATGCAATAACTCATATTCAGGATTCAGTACATGGTCATGATCAGACACAATTTTACGAGCTTGTCTCATCACTGACTGTTCAAAAATGACTTGAGGAGTGATCAGGGGTGTGGACATACCCATTATCTTCCCTGACATATTAATCAACCTAGCCTGGTTTCCAAACCAGCTGGACATACCATATCTTAACACAGACAGAATACTGGCATTGTAAAAAATCATCATGTTTCTACTGACCCCAAACAGTCTTAATCTCCGTAGGAAGTGCAGGCGCTGATGTATCTTTGCACAGACATTTTGCACATGTGAGTGCCAGCTCATATCCCTATCAATCTGTACTCCCAGGTATTTATAGGAGACAACTTGCTGAATTGTTTGGTTATGTATAGAGTGGAGTGGAGGTGTATAGGTGGAGAGAGTGGAGTTGGTGAAGGTGTGTACAGGGTGCAGAGGGTATAGAGGTTGGAGGTGTTGGTGTACACGGTGGAGAGGGTGGAGTTGGTGGAGGTGTTAGTGTACAGAGTGGAGAGGTTGGAAGTGTTGGTGTGCAGGATGGAAATGGTGGAGGTGTTACTGTACAGGGTGGAAAGGGCATAGAGGGTGGAGGTGTTCCTCCATCTCCTCCTTTAGCTTAAACAGATTCTGACCAGTCTGACCATCAGGAGTCAGACCATCAGGACTAGTCTGATCAGGACCAATCTGATTAGGACCAGTCTGACCATAAGGACCAGTCTGACCATCAGGACCAGTCTGATCAGGTCTAGTCTGACCATAAGGACCAGTCTGACCATCAGGACCAGTCTGATCAGGACCAGTCTGACCATAAGGACCAGTCTGATCAGGGCCAGTCTGACCATAAGGACCAGTCTGATCAGGACCAGTCTGACCATCAGGACCAGCCTGATCAGGACCAATCTGACCATCAGGACCAGTCTGACCATCAAGACCAGTCTAACCATCAGGACCAGCCTGATCAGGACCAGTCTGATCAGGACCAGTCTGACCATCAGGACCAGTCTGACCATCAGGACCAGCCTGATCAGGACCAGCCTAACCATCAGGACCAGCCTGACCATCAGGACCAGTCTGACCATCAGGACCAGTCTGACCATCAGGACCAGCCTGATCAGGACCAATCTGACCATCAAGACCAGTCTGACCATCAGGAACAGTCTGATCATCAGGACCAGCCTGATCAGGACCAATCTGACCATCAGGACCAGTCTGACCATCAGGACCAGTCTAACCATCAGGACCAGCCTGATCAGGACCA